CAAGTCCAAACACAGGCTACCAGCATGCACAGAAGATGGGGAGAACAAAACTCCCTTCTTCATACTCCTCCAGCACCAGTAATTCCCCCTCCCAAATATCTCAAACCTCCTCCCTCCCCGTTTCTATGGCAGCCGATAGCAAGCAAGGCAAGTAGAGGCCGACAGGGAAAGAGAGACAAAAGGAAGGATGGAAAGAAAGAAAGAAAGAAAGAAAGAAAGAAGAAAGAAAGAAAGAAAGAAAGAAAGAAAGAAAGAAAGAAAGAAAGAAAAAGAAAGATAACTTATGATCACAATTGAGTCCAAAATTTTTGTTGCTAAGCAAGAGCGTTAAGTGAGTTTCACCTCATTTTCCAAGTTGGCCATGCCCACCCAGTCACATGACTGTGCATTGAGAACTGTGGTCAAAGCCAAATGAAGCAAATCATTCATTCAAATACGTACTGTATATTCAAATCTGAATATATCTTTATTGTTGACTTAAATTCCTAGTTATCCAACTATCCTACATTTCTGTATCTAGTTTCCTACTGTGTTATATCTAAATAATTTTTGTACTTTTGACCTGCATGCTTTCATTATTAATCTCCTTAAAATGTTATCTTTTGGTGCAACCTTTATAAGTTGCAATGTAACAATATTCTAGCTGTTATTATGGAATTCAGTAATTTCTAAGCAATCCAAACAGACTTAACATTTTTCATTTTCATTTTCTGTTTTACTAATTCCTTTCTGCTTTTGAACTCAAATGTAGTATGTATATTTCCTTAGAAATTGTCTACATTCAAATAAATTAAATTTGACAAGACAATGATCATTGTTCCCAATCAGCTGACAATACATATAAGTATATAAATTAGATATCGCTTATGTGATTAAGATTTCATGGTAGATTTCATTTGCTAATGGAACACAATTCCTTTAATCAAAATATGTGTGAAACACATTACAAGCAAAGTTGTATAAATAGTACAATATTACTAGCTGTGACTGTAAATTTATTCTGTGAGCATGATTGCCATTCTGAAAATGTTTTCATTGATGAACATTTCCTGATGATGGAACCAGCATACAATTGATTTATAATCATAAATATTACCAATTTGAACATAAGCCTTTACTTTTTCTTAATTTTACTGCTTCCTTTGATAATCTGAGTTTCAAATAATATATAACATTGATCTTATTAGCCTACAATATAAGTGGGACTAAGAAGAAATGAAGTAGGGCTGTCAAACTCCCAGCCTGTGGGCTAGATGTGAAAGGGGGGGGGGAGTCCCAATACATCACGTGACTCAGTGATGACGATGTGAGTTTGACATCCCTGCTATAAAGTGTGAATTTAAAAAGGGACATTTATATTTCAGCATATTTATGGATCATTTATATTTCAGCATATTTATGGATGGGTATCTAAAAGACTGCAATTTATGTTCAATTTGAATCAGAATATATAGAAACTGAATCGGTTTCTTTTTTGTAATGATATAGTCACTAGGGCTGCATATGCTTAAAATTGATACAAAAGGTTTTTGGACGTTCTGCAAGCATGGCATCTCTGTGCAGTTCACTAAAGCAGAATCTTTTTAAATGCCTGAAAAACCAAAGGCCGTGTGAATGAATAGCAGAGAAAGATTGTGTTTGTTTGAGGCTCAAAGATTTTTGCAATCATATCTTAAACATGCACAACCCCTTAACAATCTTGCTAGTTCAGAAACAGAATAAACTTTTAACACAAAAACAAAGGATAGATGTATTGTCATAGGTTGCCAGCACAAGCAAAAGGGGTGGTAAGTCCTATGAACTGAGTAGCTTGTTGACAGTTTGATTACAGAAGAGAGTATAATTTATTTTCCAGTCCAACCTCTAATGCCTATGCTACACTGCAGAGGAAAGGCATCTTAAGATAGTAGATTTATTACCCCGTTATTTATTTATTTATTTATTTGTTTGTTTGTTTGTTTAATCACATTGATTTATCTCCTCAAATTATTAAAAAAGCAATTTATAAATCATGAATGTACAAAGTATATAAAATACAAAATATGTAATATTTATATAAATGTATATAAATGCATATATTATACTTCTGCATAAATTCATTTCTTTTTAATAGATATAGATATACTGTAGATATATTTTTAAAAAGCATAATGGACTGTACTCACTGACTTCGTGGCTTCAAGCTGCAAACCACGGCTTATCAGGTTTGACTCATAGACTTGTCTCTTCCTCTGTTAAAATTGGTTAAAATTGTGAAACTTTTTAATGATTCATATCTTTCAAAAGAAATGAAAACATTTTAACAAAAATAAAACATTGTTTCAACTAATTTTATTTATCACTAAAACAAAATTTAGAATTTAACCTTCAGCAATTAATGCATAGAATTATAGAAACCAAGAATTTCAGTTTTTGAAGAAATTAAATAAAATTTGATTTATTAGATTTATTTAGTAAAACTAGTCAATAAAAATCAATTTAATTAGAAAGTTAGATTTTTCTTTTAAATTGGAATTTTTGCTATAGCTATTGAACACAGTTTTGAATTTAATCATAATCATGATTTGGCACTATGAAAGTACTTTTTTTCTTCACTTGCATCTTTTTTTCATTAGCTGTTATAAAGTTTGTAGCAAACCACCATTGACAATTGCAATAAAGACAATCAACATTTGTTTTAATTGCCTTCCCAACCAGGATAATAAAGTTGGTTTAAATTTTGACTTGTAGAACTTGACTCATGGAACGAAACATGTTTCTCATTTCAAAGATACAATAGAAGAAGAGGAGGGAGGGCAAATAAAGAGAGAAGGGTGGAATGAAGAAGAACCATATGAGTGAGCCCTTAGCATTATCAGAGTACTGAGTAATTGCTGGGATTGATTCCTCTGGAAAATTGATTTTGTTTTGAAAAAATGGAGATTGAGTGAAATAAATATCAGGAGAGGAGAGTCTTATTTATCAAAGCATACTCCCAGGATCTTGGACTCCCTGTTTGTTGGATTTGATTGAGGCGTGATTGTTTACCCTACATTTATTGTCATTGTGTCTGGAGTTGAAGGAACAGCACTGGGAATGAGAGAACTTTTTAATTGGACGGCCTTGATGTTTCAAAATATTTTGAACTTAATTGATGGTATGAATCAGAAAACAGACCGTATTTTGCAAAGAATGAGAAATAAAGACCAAAATGTACATGAACTGGTGGAAATAACAGAAAGATTGGATGAAATGGACCACTTAAGTCAGCAAATAGAATACAAACAGAGCTTCCTGCGGTGACGTCATCATGTTGGGGTTGAGGAATGGCAGCTCCCGTAACCTGAAACCCAAATTTCTTTGTTTGGGCTCACTTTTGAGTTCTGCGGAACCTGATGGGATCGGCAAATTCATGGGGAAACTCTGAAGACATTGGGGTGGTAAGGCAAACCTCCAGTGGATAGACCCACTAAACTGATGAAGATCTATCCTGTCATTTGGATAGGACTGGAGTGATGGCGGCTGCATAAGAGAAAGTGAATAGAGAAAGCAGTTAAAATTGAGGAAGTTGTTATCATCAACAACCCAAGAAAGGAGGACAACTTGAAATTGGTGGAGCAGGTAAGCTGGAAAAAAAAAGCTCTGTAGTGAAGACTGTTTTTACAGTCTAGATTAGTGCCGAAAAGCAGTGAGAGCAGAGGCGGGGAGTGGAAAGTGGCAGCGTGAATAGCAGAAGAGGAGTGATCACAGAGGGACGCCTGATAGGAGAGTGAAGAGAAAGCAGGAAAAAACGGTGTTTACAATGGGATTGGGATATATGGGCTGATGAGAACACCTGACAGTGTTGGGCTGGTTGTTGTTTTTTCTTTTTTGTTCCAAAGAATAGCCGAACTTTGAACAGAGTTCCAATCATGAATAATAAATCCAGGTAATGAAGACCTCAAGGATTTGTGTGTGTGTGTGTGTGTGTTTGTGTGTGTGTGTTATAAATATATAGTACTTCTTTTCCTTGGGAGTTGGAACTGGACAGGGGACAATAGAAAAAGCTTTGTTTTGGAACTGTTGGAGAAATTTCTTCTCTTGTCTCCTCTTCTTCTCTCTCTTTGCCTCTGGGCCATGCTGTGATTACTGGCTGTGATTAACAGAATGAACAGTGGTACTGAGAAGAGGGCGACATCTAGTGGATTATAAATTTGAGCCGTAAAGGCTGATGTAAGAACAATTGACAGTGACATAAGGGGAAAAAGAAAAGCAGAAGACAAACATGGAGGATAAAGATATAATTAAACATTAATATTAACTGATAAGGGAAATCCAGCTACGATTGATATTCTAAATTTATTATATATATATATATATATTCGTAGATTTTCATGGGTATAGGTATGCAGCCTTGGCATATTCAGGTCTTTTCCCGTATAAGATGGACAGTATCTTGGCAACGTTTCGACGAGGTCACACTCGTCATTTTCAGGCTGATGCCTTTGGCTTCACGCTTATGCGAGCAAAGCATGATCAGAGCTGCTGTTTTTCTATGTGTGTGGAATGTTGCCTTTGTTGCTTTAAATGGATTGGTTGGCTGTGTTGTCACATCTTGATTGGTTGATGGAATTGATGTTTGGGGAGGGTGATTGGTGATAGTGTCCTGTGTTGTTCTGGGTCCTGTGTCAGTTTTTGTGGCTGGGACTCGTTTATTGATTAGGGCTAGTTTCCAGATGTCTGGTAGGCAGGAGGTATCATCACATTTATTCATGTTGTGGGAGTGTTCCTCTATTTCAATAACTTCCATAATTATTCTCTTGTTGAAGTGTTCAGTTTTGGAGAGTAATTTGGTTCCTTCAAAATCAATTTAATGCCCTGTTGCTTTAAGGTGCTGGAACAGGGAGGAAGTTTTTTCTTCTTTTCTGACTGTGTTTTTGTGTTCTGNGAACAGTTGCAAAGCAAAGCTGAGTCTGGTTAATTAGGCACGAAAGCGGATAATATCATGTATAATTCAATCCCCTCCCCTTGTCACCCCCATTCATAGTCCAATTATAATGCACCCAACTGTCAGGTGGGAGATAACTTCAAAAGTCATCATCAGGATGGAATGCTGGACAGTTGGCCTTGGCGGGAAACTCCCTTCTTCCACATGCGCAGTAAGGTGGTCAGATCAGCGTCTAGAAACTTCCTCCAGCACATAATGATTCCCCACCCAGATACCATGCCCCCCCTCCCTGTTTCAATGACAGCCGAAGCAGCAGCAAAGCAGAGGCTGACACATAATCATTTCAATACAATTTAGTATGTAAAATTTATACATTCCTTTGTTGTTGTCCATTGTGAAGGTTTTTAGTTGAGCTTGCATAACAGAGTGAATTTTGTACATCTTAAAAAAGATTACAAGATTAACATTTTATATCAGTATAAGAAAAAGGTAATTCTTTATACTCACATCATGGAGTGGAAAAGCAGCCTTGTAGATTCCAGAGTCCAGAAGTCTATTGATACCAAACTTTTTCACATTATCTTTTATAGCATATTCTCCTCGACAAAGAATAAAGTAAACCTGAAATACCCCCCCAACCCAAATTTCTTCATTAGCAGGGGATGAACTTAAAAAGTGGGAAATTATTTATGAGACAATACTTATGAGTACATATAGTTACTAGGCAAAATGTCTTCCTGCTGTAATTTTCTCTTGGTATTTACTAGTGTTCTTCTTAAATACTTTTCCTAATTATGGCATAAACATCCCTGGCAACAATTTTTGTTTGCTATGTCTCCATAATATTGCCTTCATCTTCTCTCCAGTCTATGAATGAAACAGGCATAAGTCATCCTTAGTTGTTAAAATAGTATTTTCCCATGTATTATGACACTGTCCAAAGGCAGCTTCAAACAGTGCAAAAACTATTAGATTTTGTTATCTTGGGTGAAAATCAGGTGATAGCAGTGGTTTGTAATAGTGGCAAACAGCATTTACTTTTTTTGAATCTCTATGATGGTAAATCATAGAGCTCAGCAGTAAGGAAAGGTCTTAGTTAGGGGTTAGTAGCTGAATATATGTTTTTCTTTATTTGTGCTTTGAATGCTTCCACAGCCATGTGAACAAATGCTTGACTTTTCAAAAATACAGTTTTTAAAGCATATGGTCCTGGTTTCTTGTGGGCTACAACATCTATAATAACTCTTACGGCATGTCTTGCAGACCAAAAGAGTTTGTGAATGTATGATTTTCTGTTTTTTAAGAGTACTTTCACACAGAGCTTTGAAAATGAACTTTTGCATAATAAAATCTTTTGAAAAATCATGGCCAGCACATTATAATTTGCCGATGTTCATATGTTCATTTTCGTAATTTTGCAAAACAAATTATGGGAATAAAAATTGGTAGTACTGACTTCATATATAAACCAGCCTTATGCAAATGCCCTTGGTACATATATTTCAATATTATCTATATTTGCTGACATCAGTTTATCCATCAGTTTCAAAGAGTCTTACTCAGCTTCATCTGGAGATATTTTGGACTGAAATGAGAACCAATTTGATTCAAATTATTCATTCTACTAGTGGGTTGTACTCTGTCTGCCACTTAATTTTCCAACATTTGATATTTACTTAATTATATTATATTATATTAGATTATATGCTGCAATGCATTTTTTACATATTGCTTTGATATTCAGAAGACCAAAATAAACATTAGTCTAATATTGCACATAAAAATACATGTTTTAATAATAAATTCTACAACTTACTATTCGGCTCCTAGTTGCTGAATTGAAGAAAGAGTCCTTGTCCTGAATATAAAAGTGTGAAATACGTTCATTTTCAAATGCAGCAGTAAAAAAATCCTGTTCTGGGTTGATGACATTTTCATCTACATTGAAGAACCTGCTAATCCATGTAAGTGCTGAGTCATGGGTTTTTGTATCATCAGGTTGCAAAGGCAATTTGATGTGCATAATTTCAGCATAGCTACACAGCACTTCCCAAGGAGCATGCACCTTTACAAAGATCAGCTTTTCATCCATGACCTGCAGTAAAATATATTGAGATTTTAAAAATACCACATCTCAAGAATAATCTTAACATCTGTTTGGAACCATTGAAAGAGCTAATCTTATGATACATTGTTGGAAGAAATGTCCTTCTGGGTTTGTCTCCAAGTGGGGAAAAAGACACTGGAGACATGGAGGCTGCTTGGAAAGATGGTTTTAATGGTGGACAGGACCANACATACATATAAATCTATAATAAGAATACATAAGTAATATTAAGAACTAGAAGAAACTGGGGAAAAAAGAAAGAGGAATTACTGAAAGAAAATCATAGAGAGGCTGATTAATAGAACTGAGTATCTGTATAACTGATATAACTGAGAGATATTTATTTGCATAAGATAATAGTGTGATATATAATTCTGTGATATATAATAGTCGAGGATTAAAAATAGAATAATATATAGGATAGTCTACATACTGAAATGTGATAATAAGAATGGTTAATTATTGTGAATTATTGATATATATAATCACTGATACTTGCAATAAAATAGAAATAAAGAAGAACGTATGCAACTGTGGACTAGGATAAACCAAGGGATAAAGATGGAAACTAGTACTATTTTAACAAAGACAGGGGAAAAAACAATATCCAACTCTGCATCAGCAGCATCCTCACCCTCAAACCAAAGATCTATCAAGAGTGCATTGGGACTGGAGAAAAGCGGAATGGCAGCAGGAACAGCGGGACAGGCACAAACAATGCAAAGTATGCAATTGATGCTCCAGATGATACAAGAGGCAATGACAAAAACCCAAGAAGTGATAGCAACAAATCACGAAGAGACGTGGAAGAACCATGAGGAAATTAAAAATGAAATGGGAGAATTGAGAGGAGATATCAAAAACATGGATGACAAAATTGAAAAGATACAGAACACCATGACAATCAATGAACAGAAAATTCAGAACATCAAAACAAAAATAGAACATACAGATCAGAGGATGGAAAAAATGGAGTTGAAATATACACGTTAATAAAGAGTTAGAAGAATCAATAACCTTCCTTAAAATGGAAAGAGCTTCATATTATCTAAGATTTCAAAACATAGTTGAAGAAAAAGAGGAAGACCTGAAAGGAAAAATGACCGAAATTTTTGCTGAAATTTTACAGAGAAAGGAACAAGAGATGACAGTAGACATTGATGAGGTTTATTGTGTACACACCAATTATGCCATTAGACATAGACTACTAAAAGAAGTGCATGTAAGATTTGCCAAAAGAACAACTAGAGACAAAGTGTACAAAAAAAAAAAGAGAGAAGGGATAATAACATACAAGGGAAAAGAGATGATTACTCATAAACAGATACCATGGAGAGTCAGGGAACAACATAGATGGTACCAATTTTTTACTAATCAGTTAAATAAAAACAGAATAATGTACAGATGTTTGGTACTGGAAGAGATATAGGTTTCTTGGCAAGAAAAAAGATATAAAATAGATAACATAGAAAAAGTGCAAGAATTCTATGAAAAATACTTCACAAGGGAAGAAGAACAAGGAAGTAAAGAGAACCTACCATGTTTTCCCGAAAATAAGACAGGGTCTTATTTTCTTTTTACCCACAAAATATGGCCTAGGCCTTATTATGAGGAGAGGGTTTATTGTTTTGGGGTTGCCGGGCGGCTGCTCTCTTGCGAGTGGGCTCCCAAAGAGCTGGGCACAGCCTCATGGGCAAATGTCTGTTTTGCGCTGTCGCAGCAATGCAACACAACAGCCATGAAGCGACCACGCTCATGAGCAGCCACTCAGAAACCCCCTTTCCAGCCAGGCACAGCACCATTCACTGACTTAGGGGTATCACTAAGCCGCCTGTTTGCTGCCGCCCGGCTTCTGTGGCTTGGCTCCTTTGAAATGCTAGTGAAAGGCACTCTGCATGGCTGGAGGGGGGGGGTTGCATGAGCGGCTGTTCCGCTCCTGCTTGCACGCCTCCCAGCCTCACGATGCCTTGACCCTGCTCTCTCTGCAGAGCCAGGGCACCTCTGCTGCCGCCGCCACATGACTTTTTCAGTAACTTCCAAACCAAATCTTCCAGCAGTGACCACTCTGGGCATATGCTCTATGGTTGTGGGCTAGCTGCTGGCAGAGCGTACACTCGTTTCACTCATTTCTGCCCTCCCCAGCCTCCAGGAGCACTCTGGAAGCCTCCTAAAGGCTATGTACGGCCATTTTGGTGCAGGGGCAGGGTTTCAGGAGGCAAAAAATTCTGTATTCTGTGTATAAGACGAACCCAGATTTTCAGCCTCTTTTTTGAGGGGAAAAGATGCATCTTATGCTCCCAAAAATATGGTAGGTAGTAACTTGGCCTGCCACACCCCTGAATCAGTTCTCTCGGTGGCTCCATAGGCACCACCATCTTGTTTTTTGCTTCTGCAAATGCACAGAAGCTTTTTTTAGTACTGCACATGCGCATGTAGTGCACATCAAGAGCATGCACATGCTTTGCACACAAGTGCAGCGCATCCCTGAGTGAACCAGCAGTAGCAGCAGTGGGAACCTACTCCTGCTTGCAACCATGTGACAGTGATTATGTTTCCATATGATTGTACTTATTTTAAAATATAAAATTAGGAACAAAATAAATGCAACATTTTTACCTTACAATGTTTTAATATGGGTTAATACTGTTCCAGTTAAAACATAAAACCTGTGTATCTAGAATCTGGATTGGTTCATCTTTTGTGGGCCTTCCAAAACATTGATAAGACTATGCTATTTCAGAAATCGTTTGATTAATGACCGACACAGTATTTATGATTATTGTAAGGCTGCTATTTCAGGTTAATTAATATTTTGATGTGATCTATTAACATAAAATATTGTATCATGGATGTTATATTGTTTATTGTTTCTATGACTGTTCATTATAACTTTACTATGGATGTTTTACTGCTATCTTTAGTATGGACATTTTAGTTGATAACACCTTAGATGTTAATAATTAGAATTTTTAAATAATTATTTTGATCATGGTAATTTTGGATCTAATGTAAGCTGCCATAACTCTATGATTAAGCCAATAAATGAATCAATATAGTTTAGTTTAGTTTAGTTTGCCTTTATTTGTATGCCACCCTTTTCCCTAAGGGGACTCAGGGCGGCTCACAATTCAAAAAGGGAGGGAGCAACAACAAACAATAAACAATACAACATATTAAAAGAGAAAAAAATGCAACAGTCATAGAGTTATGGCAGCTTACATGAGATCCAAAATTACCATGATCAAAATAATTATTTAAAAATTCTAATTATTAACATCTAAGGTGTTATCAAC